GGATGGTGAGTCGGTGAATGACTTCTTCCTCCGCCTGCAGTTGCTCATCAGCAAGCTGAGGAGCCACGGCGTCACCATCGACGAAGAAGAGACGGTCTACAAGTACCTCCACTCCGTGCCGGTGAAGTACATCCAGATCGCTCTCTCCATAGAGACGATGCTGGACTTATCCACCCTCACCATTGAGGATGTGACAGGACGTCTGCGGGCGGTGGACGAGCGCATGGAGCAGGCCACAGCAACGACGGACAGCGGCAAGCTGCTGCTGACAGAGGAGGAGTGGTCTGCCCGGATGAAGGAGAAGAAGTCCGGGGAAGCCTCCTCCAGCCTCGGTGGCGATAGCAAGCGCCGCGGCAAGGCTTCTTCGGAGAAGAAGAAGAAGAAGAAGGTCGACCCTAACGCCTGCCGGCGCTGCGGAAAGACGGGTCATTGGGCAAAAAAGTGTCCAAATCGTAAGCAGGAGAAGAAGGCTGAGGCTCATTTAGCGCAGGCTGATGAGGCCACTCGCCTGATGGCGACGTTCTGTGCACTGCATGACGTTGAGGCCAAGGGGAAGGGAGAGGTGATGGCGGCGAAAGGGCACGGCAAGGCTCTAAAGGCTGTCAACCTCGACGAACCGCGCGCCCAAGTCCACCTCGGACGTGTGGGCGGCGAGCAGGAGCAGCGGTGGTACCTAGACTCCGGCGCCAGCAACCACATGACGGGCTCTAAGGAAGCCTTCTCTGAGCTCGATGGCAACGTGACCGGCACGGTGAAGTTTCGGTGACGGCTCAAGGGTGGCGATCCGAGGGCGCGGCACCATCATCTTCAGGTGCCAGAACGACGAGCACCGCGTGCTGATGGATGTATATTACATCCCGCAGCTGCGTCCAAGCATCATCAGCCTTGGCCAGCTAGATGAGCGCGACAGCGAGGTACTGATCAAGGACGGCGTCCTCAGAATTAGGGACCGGGAGCAACGGCTTCTTGCCAAGGTGCAGAGGTCCTAGAACCGGCTATACCTGCTCGACTTGAAGGTGGAGTAGCCCATCTGCTTGGCTGCACGACACAAGGAGGAGCCGCGGCTGTGGCCATCTTAGCTTCGACGCTCTTGGTCGGCTAAAGAAGATGGTGACTAGGCTGCCTCATATCGAGCACGCAGGCGAGCTGTGTGACAGCTGTCTGGTCGGGAAGCAAAGAAGGCTGTCGCTCTCGAAGACGGCGAAGTACCGCGCGGCAGAGGGCCTCGAGCTGGTCCATGGTGACCTCTGCGGGCCGATCACGCCGGCGACGCACGGTGGGCGCGAGTACTTCATCTTGTTGGTGGATGACTGCAGCCGGTTCATGTGGCTGCAACTTCTGACCAGCAAGACGGAGGCAGCGGAAGCGGTCAAGAAGTTTAAGGTGCGCGCAGAGGCGGAGAGCGGCAAGAAGCTGCGCGTGCTGCGGACTGATCGCGGCAGCGAATTCACATCGGTGGAGTTCGTTGCGTACTGCGTGGATCTGGGTGTGGTGCGATACCACACACTACGCCGTACTCGCCACACCAGAATGGCATGGTGGAGCGACGGAACCAAACGGTGGTCGGCATGGCTCGATCCATGATGAAGGCCAAAAGCATGCCGGCAAAGTTCCGGGGAGAGGCGGTGACCACGGCGGTGTTCATCCTCAACCGCGCGTCCACCAAGGCCCTGAAGGGCAAGACGTCGTTCGAGGCTTGGCATGGACGCAAGCCGAATGTGTCCTTCCTTAGAACATTTGGTTGCGTCGGCCATGTGAAGAACACCAAGCCTTACCTTGGCAAGCTGGAAGACAGGAGCACGCCGATGGTGCTCCTGGGCTACGAGTAGGGCACCAAGGCGTATCGGCTCTATGATCCCAAGAGAGGCAAGGTGGTGATCTCTAGGGATGTGGTGTTCGATGAGATGGTGGCCTGGGACTGGGAGGGTTCGAGCACGGGGAAAGTTGGCAGCTTAAGCAGCACCTTCGTCGTCGAACACTTAGTCATCCACGGTGGTGGAGACGCTGGAGAAGAGGTGCCGACCACCCCAGGAGTGGTGCCGAGCGGTCCAGCAGCAATGCTGACCACTCCAGAGGGGGTGCTGAGCAATTCAGCAGCAATGCCGAGCACTCCAGTAGTGGAGCCGACCACTCCGGCAGTGGTGCCGAGCGGTCCAACAGCGATGCCGACCACTCCGGTAGAACAGGGAGGCCATGGACCACCGATCGAGTTCACCTCTCCACCCACCGACATCGACGAGTACGTGGACGCTTTCCACGACGGCGAGGAGGTCCGGTTCAAGTGGGTGGACAACAACGTCGGCGAAGGGGGAGCTCCTGGGTTGGCCAATCGTTGTCTCGATGACCCAGAGCTGCTCCTTGTTAGTGCAGAGGAGCCACCGACGTTTGCAGTGGCTGAACGCGACGACAATTGGTGCCGGGCGATGTTGGAAGAGATGAAGGCCATCGAGGACAATGGGACATGGGAGCTGGTGATCCACCGGTGGGCTGCAGGCCGATCGGGTTGAAGTGGGTCTACAAGGTGAAGCGTGACGAGGGCGGCGCAATTGTCAAGTACACGGCTCGGCTCGTCGCCCGCGGCTTCGTGCAGCGTGAGGGCATCGACTTCGAGGAAGTCTTTGCTCCGGTGGCGCGAATGGAGTCCGTTTGCTTGTTGTTGGCCATGGTAGCAGCGAAGGATTGGCGCGTCCACCACCTCGACGTCAAGTCTGCGTTCCTCAACGGCGAGCTCGCGGAGACGGTCTTCGTCAAGCAAGCTTCGGGCTTCGCCGTCAAGGGCGCTGAGCACAAGGTGCTCAAGCTGCGCAAGGCGCTCTACGGGCTGCGGCAGGCCCCTTGGGCGTGGAACGCCAAGCTCGACGCCACCTTGGGCGAGCTTGGGTTCACTCGCTGCGCCACAGAGCACGTGCTGTACACGCGGCGACGGGTGAAGAAGGAGCTCGTCGTCGGTGTGTATGTGGACGACTTGATCATCACTGGAGCGCGGGCGGAGGATATTGACGGCTTCAAGCGCGAGATGTCTGCTCGTTTCAAAATGAGCGAACTCGGCGCGCTCTTCTACGACCTCGGCATTGAGGTGAGGCAGGGGAAGGAGCACATCTCCCTGGGCCAGCGCGCCTATGCGGAGAAGCTGCTGGAGCGCAGCGGCATGGCAGAGTGCAAGCCGTGCACAACTCTAATGGAGGAGCGACTGAAGCTGTCCAAGCACAGCATGGCGGCGAAGGTGGACGCGACACGCTGCCAGAGCATCGTCGGCGGGCTGCGCTACGTCACGCATACTCGGCCGGACATCACGTTCGTGGTTGGGTATGTCAGTCGCTTTATGGAGGACCCACGCGAGGATCACTGGACGACTGTGAAGAGGTTGTTGCGCTACGTCAAGGGGACGCTCGATAAAGCGATCATCTTCCCCAAGAGTGGTAGTAAGGGTGGGCTGCGTCTCACGGTCTTCAGTGAGGCACCCCCCAAGGCAAAGGAAGGTGAGCCGGAGCTCATTGTTTTCAGCGACGCAGACATGGCGGGCAACATCGACAGGCGACGGAGCACCTCCGGCGTGCTCGTCTTCCTTGGAGCGGCCCCCATTGCTTGGTAGTCGCTGAAGCAAAAGATCGTGGCGCTGTCGACGTGCGAGGCGGAATACGTCACAGCAGCCATGGCGGCGTGCCAGGCTGTCTGGCTGCGCCGGCTGCTGGGCGAGCTGACCGGCGAGGAAGCTCACTCGCCAGCTATGACGATGGACAACCAACCCGCCATCGCCCTCGCCAAGAACCCTGTCCTCCACGACCGGAGCAAGCACATTGACATCAAGTTCCACTTCCTCCGGGACTGCATCGATGGAGGGCAGATCGTCATCGAGTTTGTCGAGACTGGCAGACAGCTCGCTGACATCCTCACCAAGTCATTCGGGCGCCTGCGGTTCATGGAGCTGAGGAAGATGATTGGCATGGATGAGGCCAAGGCATCGGGTTAGCAGCAGGATTAGGGGAAGAATTGTAAGACATAATCTGCTGTTGATATCTCTCTCTCTTGCTGCAGCAGAGTTGACATTTGGTCAGCTCGGCTGTCCAGTCTCTACTGCTATAGCAGTATGGTAATAGGCCACCTCTAGTATATTAGTTGGTAGTTATTACATCAGCCATGTCTTGGTAGTGGGCTGATCTAAGTTTTGTACTGCTAGTACTAGGAGTAGTTGGTGTACCTTAGGAGTAGGTAGTTGGTGTACTCACCAACAACTATGTACCTGGTAGAGGTACTAACACTTGTATATATATCACAACTAAGGCAATGCAAAAGAGCTGTTCAGTTTGCCACATTCAGAAGCAGAGCTTCAGCCAGGGCTGGGCTTATGCTGTGTGTGTGTTATTGAGTTCAATCTCTTCTTCTACCTCTAGCCATAGTGAGTGAGTGTGCTGGTAAGCTTACTGCTTACCTGTGCAGGGCAGCATGGGACCAACAGGCGTCTGATCCAACCCCTTGGAACACAGAGCCAAAAGACCCTGCACCCAACTGCTCTGAGAAGTTCCTAGTTAGGCGTTGCAAATCACTGTATTTGAATCTGATCAAAGATCCATCACCCTGATTTAAACCATTTATTGTTGTCGTTCTTCTGCGAAGAAAATATAGAATGGCCAATACAGAACTTAGAACAAAAATTCTACCAATGATTATCCCAATAAACAACTTATTGTTTCCTGAGTTGGGTAGTTCTGATGCAGGCACTGTAATAAAGATATTATCACTTGATCCAGCAATATTGTCTTGCAGATTCATCAAATGGTTGTACCAAACCAAGCAAGTGCCACTATGAGAGTAAGCTGTGCAAGAGCAGTTTTTCAGGCAAATTAACTCACAGTCATGAACATTGGTTGCATCTATGTTGTGTGCATTATCTGGAAACTTAACACTATTAATAGCATAGAATCTATCTTGCTCCACCTTCTCTGAGCCATTGTTGCCACACTGCAGTGGGATGTTTCGCCTACAGCCTGCTGTCTGGTCATCTAGTTTCCAGTTGTTTGGGTGATTCTCACTGAAGTCCTTGAGGCAACTGCATGGTGACGCATCATTCTCACTACATGTGCTGTATTCCCCACACACACCATAAACACTGCACTTGGATTTTGGTTTCGTGAAAGAATTTGTCCATGCTTGTTGTGCCTGTGCCCATACCAAAGTCTGAAACATGACACATCAATAATCGTTCTTGTAAATATTAATGCATCATCCTTAATATTGTATGTGAAATATGCCTCCTCATCATTGTCAACAAACTGGAACATAAACCTTGAGCTGGGATAGGGATTGAGAGGTGACATCTTGGGCACACCACTGAATCTATTATTAATCCAGTTGCCAGTAGTCCAGTACACTACTGATCTATTCCATTGGAGAATATATTGCAGTGAGCCATTAGGATCTAACTGAATGGAGAACATCCTCTGTGCTGGGTCACCACGGTCTTTCCAAGAGATCATCCGTTTGATGATGCCAGTTTTCTTGTTACGACTGAGCTTGTTTCCTGGGAGCCATGTGTCTGTGAAATCATCAAAACTTTGCCATAACACAGCAGAGGTATTAGCCTCATGTCGGACTACAAGATTCCCATTGCCAAGGAGCGCAACCACTGTGGAACTAGCAGCTGTGTTGTTCTTGATATTGGTAGACCAGAGGGGAGATTTAGAATGGTTTAGTAGAAGAACCAAATTGCCATCATCTGAGACAGTTAGGCTTGATAGGAGTGGATCAGAGACTGGTTTCTCTCTGTTTGCCACCCACACTACAGTCTGTTCTGGGATTTTATTGCACCAGATGCCTATGTACCACTTTCCGCTTGATGTTTCAGCTGCCAAAAATGAGAGAAGTCAGATCATAAGACAAAGATACTAAAAAAAGGCTAACTCATTACATTCTGATTCTGATTCTAATATTGTGTTGTTTTGTAGTAGTGATAAGGTTGGAACTTGGATTGAAAATTCTATAGTGCTTCTCTACTGATCACTTTCTGAAAAAGAACAAATCCCTAATGAATATCACATTCTGTTCATTTTTATATCACAGAAACATGAGTGCTTTTCTTTTAAAAAACAGTACTCACCTGCAGGTTGGAAGAATCCCAATGCAAAATTGCCGTTCTGAGAGATAAGCTTCTGGTCCCCAGAGAGCTGCTGGTTCGCAGTGAGGGAATCAGTGGTATGCAATGGAGATGGTTGGAGAGAAAGTTGCAGTAAAAGTAAGGATAAGGCGCATGAAGAAAGCCAGGTAGCCATACTAAAGGAAAAAAGAAGAGCCCTCAAGGTTAGGAAGATACTTGCTGTGAACTCACAGTTCACAAGCACACTGGCTCTGGGTGTTTATATGTGCAACATCTACTCATGTTAGTCGCAGCATTGATCTGACTTTTGTATGTATTCCTTGTCTTCTCTAGGGAAATCTTGTGCCGTGACGCCCTCCCGATGTTGAAGCCGTTATTTAGAAGAGGCCCTTGGTTGGATGCCCATTTCAGTCAACAATACCATATTCTGAACAACCATTAGCAAATCAAGGTTTATTATGATATATGCAAGCTGACTTGTATTGTGTCTGTATTCTCCAACTTTGAGAATGGTTGAATACTTGGATTGGTTAAGGGGAAGTTGGGGCCTGGAGGCGATCGGCAGTGATTGATGTCTAAAATCAGCAGCACTAGGCTGTTTGAACCGTGCTAAACAAATGGCAAATTACGGTGCCGTCAAGGCTTTGGTTAACATTAAGAACATAGTGTGTTGCTATTCTCCACCTCCATGACAACTTGTTCAGAAAAATAAGGCCGTGAGAATTTATTCTTGACCATTGGTGATGGCCAAGACGATTTGATGACTAAGGCACTAAACAATCTACGTTCAAACAGCAGCCAGCAACGGCCACTTGATGGGTTTGTTTTATACAATGCCTTATTGTTTCAATTATCACACAGCATTTGTTTCTCTGCAAGATTGAAAGTCGCATCTGCAGCTACCAGTTAGCGAACTTTGTTGACTTGCTCAGCAGTGAGCACCAAACTTATCTGGTTTTTGGTCATCGCGCCACACATTCTAGGAACTACTACGGCGCATTGGAGTCGTCCAATCCAAAAACAGAGCCTGTCATCTCGTTTGGATCGTCTCGATTATCAGCTCGTCACCGAGACACCGACCGGTCCGTCGTCTAGTCATCCGGCGGAACCGCGGAAATACAGCGGACGACTCCGTCCGATCTCCAATGGGCTCGTACGCACTGAACCTATTACAAACCAAACGCCTATAACAGCTGCTACTTAGCTCAACTCCAAAAGGCAAAGCGAAAGTGCAAACACTCATGGCATCATGTCGATCGTGTTCTTCGCTGTAACTCCCATAGTCCCATTTCATCCTAGTTCCGGTCTTCCGGACCACCAGCGCGTAATCTTTCACGCTGATGAGCTTCTTCTGCGCGGGTGAAATAGTTCATGGTCGTTGCTTCAAAGCAGCCGCTCCTCCGGCATCTCTTTTTTTCGGCCCTTTTGTCGTAGAAGTACGACGAGAGATCAGTGGGCCTTGGGGTCTCAAACCGAACGCGCCTCCCAAGTCCCAATAATTGTTTGAAACCGAAATTTGAGTGGACTTTGGTGGTGCAGCCGTGTGCAGCCGAAATTTTTAGTTTTTAGCCCTTTTTTTGAAAATGTTTCACAAATATAACCCTGGAGTTATGATTTCAAAATCTAAAACCTTAGCCAAAGCATCGCTCGGGCGCCATCGTTCTTTGGCGGCTTTGGCGCCGCCGCCGAGCTTCGGAGAACCCACGTTAGGCGCCATGGACGCCGACATGGCAGCCATAGCGCCAAGCCCTCACCGTAGATCTCTTGGCTCCTCTCGAGCTTGGCGTCAACACTCATAAGCGCGTCAACAATCATAGCGCCAAGCCCTCTTACGTATGGGCCGAGGTTCCTTTCTCTCTCCCTCTCTCTCTTTCTCTCCACCGCCCTCGCCGCGGCCGTGCCATGGGCGCGCCTTGACCCCATGACACTCCACACATGGGCCGTTCTCCGTCTTGCCGTCGCCCCCATGTGCCACGGCCATTTTGGCCGTGCGTCTTGAACCACGCCCATCAACGAGCCGGACGGTGATGTCGGCCCATGCACGCCAAGGTGATGTCGTCGTCTTCTCAATCTCCAACTCCTCCACGGCCTCCTCGGCCTCGGGGTGCTCGCCGTCGCACGATGATGGTTGTACTCATCCGCAGCGCATCGCATCGCCACCGAGGCCATAGGAGGTTGGGGTTGGGGAGGCCGTTCCGCCCAGTCGCGAGCTCCGACCGTTCCTCGGCCGGTGGGCGCGCTTCGCCGGACGGCTTTGCCATCGAGCCGCGGACAAAGCGTCGAGCACCAACCTGCGAAGCACATGATGAGCACAAGAAGAAGAGCATTAGAACACAACACAAGAACTTCGGGAAGATGCGAGAGAAGAAGAAGATGAAGAACAAGCGAACAAGAACATGAACATGCTAGGGTTAGGGTTTTGATCGACCTCACGCCACCGGAGCCAAAGGCTTGAGAGAAGAAGCCAAGGAGCCAAAGATCAGACAAGCACCCACCATTAGACCGACGAGCATGAACAGGCGGAGGAATTTGATACGGCCAGGCGAGGTACAGCCGAAGAAGCCAAGGAGCCAGATCCAAGCGAGAAGCGAGGAAGCAGTCGCCGAGGCGGAGGCGGCGTTGAATCTGACTCGACTTGGTCGAGGAGGAGGACAGGGAGAAGGAGGGATGCGTGGTCATTCAAACTCTATCGGATCGGAGGATCGATTCTCGACTTGAATCGAGGCTCGAGTGCGGCTGTGAGGAGGAGGAGAAAGAAGTGGCCGGCTATGTCGCGGATGATGTCGGTCCTAGATCCGCAGTCGAGTGTCCCTGCGCGGACGGAGGGCAAAAGAATTAGGGTTAGGGATTTGGGGCGGGCATCCTGCCGAGGCTTATATATGGCGCGGGGGCGGCGGGGGTGTGGGCGTGGGCAGCCCAAAAAGGCGTTAACGGCGTGCGGCGCCACCAACAACAACAAGTTCCAAACAAGTTGGGGTAGGCTAGAGTTGAAATCTCGTTTGCTGCGAACGGCAGGTGGCAGCCAGCGTCGCGCCCATGGGCCGTGCCAAAGGCGTGCAATGCGTTGCTTTTCCAAGCACTTCTATCTAAGGCTAAGTCTTTGGGTATATTCTATCATTTCAAGTCTCCTTTTTGTCTCTACCCGCCGCCGCCGTCAACTTCGGTCCGACTACTCCGCTTCGCCGCCGCCTCTTCAGGCGCGGCAAGCGCCGTTACTATCTGGCTTAGGATTCCACTAGGCGCCAAGAAGCGCGCCGTGCCTCGTGAGTGTCTAACGTTCCCTCATCGAGGCCAGTCGGTTGAGGAGGCTATCAGCGCGGATGTCATCTTCCGCAGTCCCCGCCTGTAAGCATCAAGCAACTTCTCAAGTAAATCGGTGCTAACAAGAAGTTCCAAACAAGTTGGGGTAGGCTAGAGTTGAAATCTAGCAGAAGCCATCAAGGTTCAGGCACGTGAATAGCTTTTCCAAGCACTTCTATCTAAGGCTAAGTCTTTGGGTATATTCTATCATTTCAAGTCTCCTTTTATTGTCTCTACCCAAGTCAACTTCGGTCTTACTCTGCCTCTCTTCACGTTACTATCCTGGCTTAGGATTCCACTACGCACCGGTGCCTCTGGAGGTCTCCGTTAGACATGTCCAAACCATCTTAACCGGTGTTGAACAAGCTTTTCTTCGATTGGTGCTACCCCTAATCTATCACGTATATCATCGTTCCAAACTCGATCCCTTCTTGTATGACCGCAAATCCAACGCAACATACGCATTTCCGCGACACTTATCTGTTGAACATGTCGTCTTTTCGTAGGCCAACATTCTGCACCATACAACATAGCAGGTCTAATCGACGCCTCGAGTCGACCTTTAAGGTATATTAATTTTACCGAATTTTGTTTCTTATATGCTCTTTTACTAAATAACTTTATAGCTATGTGAAATTTGGTAGGATTGCACCACAATTACAAAGAAAATAGATATATGTTATACTAGTAACGTAGATATATCATTTTTTTTGTATGATTGAGAAAGATATGTGAGGCACTGAGGCGCTGTAATCGCAGTTAAAAATGATTTAGTCCTTGTGGAATGAGGAGCTAAATTTAAGAACTACCGTGCTCTCATACCTGAGCTATAAGTTGTTAAAAAAAACTTCCTTAGGCACAGATGAACGGGACACCCATCCATGGTAGTGACTGTTGCAACACCTGTTGGAGCGCTTGAAAATAGCACACTATCATCATAGTTGATATGGGACAGCAAATTAATAATGCTGTAGCGTTGCATGATTTTCTTTTACTCTGCTATTCCAAATCGGTCCAATGCTTTGGGACATTCTAATATGCCTATTTTTCAATCCAGTTCCTAATTCCATATGGTACTGCAATTTAAGAATGAGAAATTTAGAATAGTTTCCGCTCAACACACACTGTTTGACTTATATTATTGCTGCTGAGTTATCTTAAATCTTGGTTGCGCTGCTATACTGCAGAAGCAATGTGATCAGCAGTATTACATTTTCTAAAGGAAGAAACACATATAGAATAGTGCTTTGTCTATACATAGAAACTATTGAAGTGGCATATAATTCTTCCGAAGAATTCACAACTGTGGTCTTCTTATATTCACTTTCAGCACAGCATTTGCGATAATTTTCAATACCTTGACCCTTGGTGTAAATTTTTGTGCTTCAGTAGGCATTTAGTTTTTCTACTGTTTGATATATGTTTGGTGATTGAATGCATTTGTGATAATTTTATGATAGGCATTTGAAGAGGCAGAGCTCCCTAAGCTGAAGGAAGAAAAACCAGGCCTAACGCTGCACCAGTACAAAGACATGATATGGAAACTGTGGAAGAAGTCTCCAGACAACCCTCTTAACCAGGTTTGGCTTCTATCTCCTAGCGATTTTGTACTATGGCTTCGTGGATGTACATGATTTGTGTGAATCTGCCATATCTGCCATCTTCAGCTTTAACACATGTAATTGAAATTGTACCTAAAACTTGTTTCCACTAATTTTCACTAGTGATATTTTGAGCCATTTATCATTTTTGGTCTTAGAAATCTCAAGTGGTTTGGCCTTAGTCATGGTAGTGTTTTAATATCCGTGCTTAGTGTGATTTATGTCTAAATCCTCAAACAAATATTTATGTGCAGGCTGCTGACTGATTCTGCAATCCTACTGAACCGTTTGTGTAATTAAAGGCAAGTATTAAATCTCTAACTTAAATAGGTTCATTATACTTATGTCGGATTTCATGAGCAATGGCATGCCATTGTTTTATATGCAGATCAACCTCCAAACAGCCCTGAGCTGCGTTGATACCTTTTTCTTGGAGTGGATGTGCAACAAACCTTGAATCAGAAAGATGTTTCAGTCTCGGCTAATGATTTTCAAATTACTGGAGTGTATACCGTGGGAGGTGTTCTTGTTTAGACTTTGTTGAGGTTCCTTTTTCTGTTTAGTATGGTTGGGCACATGTTGGTACCAAACATACTTCACGCGTGACAGTATTTTGAATCTTGAACAAGTTGTGTCATGGGCTAAACCATGATATGTCCATTTGTTACCAAGGCTGCCTCATTATTTGGCTCAATATCTCTCTTTTTGCATAACTAGGTTCGTGCGTTGCTACGGGACAGCGAAATTATATACTAAAAACATACGGACCGCACAATAAGATAACAATCCTATAAAATTAAATACCAACGTTAAAGTGATATTTAATCAAAAAGCAAAGTTCATGAAATTAACAGTCACGGAGAGCGCGGCATCAGAGGCTCACAAACTTTACCATATTTATATTGACAGAAAGAAATCTCCGATATCCATTTTTTTCGGGCGCTAATAAATCCACGATAAGTTCCGCCACATCTCCATACCATCCTGTACACAAATTCGAGTATATATATAAATATTAGTATCTTTCACATGGGTAATACTATGTGTCTTGAAAAATCTCTCACAAAACCTGAAAATCTCTCACAAAACCTTAAAACAAAGTAGGTTATACTCACCATATAGTGCCCATGCCGTCGACCTCGCTGTACACAGGCGGGGCCAACGACAGGAACAAAATAATATTTGACCAACGGCCCAACGACGGCCAAAGTCAAGGTCTGTGGGATACGGCCTGACACTTTACTCCTGCAGCTCTAATTGCAATAAAATTTGAATGTTTCACTTCAAAGAAAATAGCTGAGTGTTCCACTTCAAACAAACACAGATTATGACAACACAACTCTAGAAAACCATTTTAAAAGATTCTTCGTAGCATGCAGCAATAGAATAGCATAGCAAAAACTTACAACGATGAAAATCTTTCACTGTATTCTTTGAATTAGGAAAACAGGAACTTAAAAAAGACATGAATGTTATAACGTAGGTTTCCATGAGTATCAATCAAAATCAAAATAAACATGAATTGTTAAATAGGCTGAGAGGCAATGTTTTGCTTACATTCATATTCATTTTCCTCGCAAAAAAAATCATATTCATTTGTTTACAAAATCCAAATTTCCAGTGCTACTATTTGTTCATGCCTTCCAATGCTTGTTCACCCCAACAACATTTGGAGATACATAAAGTCTAGAAATCTAAGTGTTTCGTAGCCTCACATAGCAGTCAATAAAGTTCAGGAGTGGGGCTCTAAAAAAATGTTATCTAAACTCCCTCTTAATAAAAAACATGCAATGGTACGGTCACGAAAAAAATTATATTCATAAATCAGTTTTGAAGCAAACCTGGTAAATAAATTTGAAGCAACATGTGAAGAATGGTTTCATGTAATTATATCAATTTTACCTATGTATGTGAACGAATGGGCAAACTCTGAGTTCTTAAATATTTTTTAGTGCACCCGGTCATCTTGGTTAAGGACCGCTCAGCTGAGACAAGCAGGTACTTTAGTGCGCAGGAAATTGAGGGAAGAAATCAACAACCTTACATTTAATCTCCATGAATTTAAAAGATGATGCCAACCCATAATTCAGTGATATATATACTGAAGAAAGCTATCTATAGATCTCAACCATATCATCTGCACTTCAGAAGTTCTCACCTGATTTATTTGTTCACTTGAACTCTAGATCATATTTTCTTTCTGCAAAGAGTTGGAGAACGTAGTCATTAGTAGGATGGACTGTTAATATAACAAAACTTATAATAGGATGGATTGTTAATATAACAATCATCCCAGTATTAAAAAGTTGGTAATCGACCTTTACAGGAAGGGGAAGGGAACAACAACATCAGGCAACAGACTTGAAAAATGCATTATATAATGATACGTCAAGTCAAACAAACAACATAGAAAGTATAGTTGAACAGAGAAAGAAATAGTATACAGAAGTTCATTTTCAAGGAACACAACAGGATTTGGATCCCTGATTGCTGCTTTTAGCAAACCTCGAGCATCTTCTGCAGAATATGGAGCTAGAACTTTCAATCCGGGAACATGTGCATACCAAGCTGCATAGCACTGCATACTAAGACAGTAAGTAATTTCATCAAAATACAGCAGCATACCTATCTATAAATATTTACAGGACTATAATATCCATGAGATGATATGCACCGCATGATTTTAATGTGACCTAAAGCTTACACCTCTTTCTCAGTAAACACATTTACATTTTATTTCCATTTTAAGAACAGTTCTACTAAATATTACAGTATGGAGATAAATAACTCTTGGAATTAACTATTTAATCCTACAATTAATCTATCCTCTGTCAATGTATGTCCTAGCACAAGACTTTTAGAACATTAAATCATATGGCATAACTATTTGTCTTCTAAAGAATAAGAACAGCAACAAAACAACAATATAGAGGTAAGTTTGTGACAATAGCCTGCGAGTGTTGGGCACCAACTCCAGCAGCAGCACCATTTGGACCCCTGAAGACAATAGGTACAGATATCTGGCCAACTGACATGTAGTTCGATTTGGCAGCCTGAATTAATTATGTGATCAATTGCCTGAATATACAACAGTGTGTAATTAACAGATTTGTTTTTCAACATATGGAGTCTCCAGTATTCATATTCTCAAAGATGGAGAGCGGTACCAGAATAACAAACATTATTGTTGCAGAAAATTGTAAAGACAAATTGTTGTGCAAAGAATTGTAATCACCAAACGTTCATCAGCGACACCATATCAGATTATAACCCCTCTAATTCAGTAATCAAATTAGAATGGATCATAGTGTTTAATGGATCTGACAGATTTTCCCAGATATTCTACCATGTGAAAATAAACTGGAGTGAGGGAGTTCATGTCACTTTTTCTCAAGAGAAGAATGTCTACGAACATGTTAACATGCTGGTTATGTATATACATCTTTCTCCAATGAGGTGCTACTTAACAAAATGCATTACAATCGTCAACCATTAGGAGCCATTCTAATTTATGTAATAAATGTTTTTTCTAAGAAATATAAAGCAAACAGAGAAGGGCAAAAACAGATATGCAATAGGATGCTGCAACAAATAGGAATTTTCTGGGATTGCAAAGCATGTAGAGAAAATGAGTACAGAAACCAACAGATATGCCAAGGAGTGAAAGAACAAATCAAAGCAAAGAAATAGTTAATAATTGAATTAGTATGGTGATTTGCAGAATTCATTAAACAACTGACCTGCATCGAAAAGTTAAATGTCATGATCTCTACAATAGGTCGAAGACCATGGTAGGCGGCACCAACACCAATGCCAGTGAAGCCAGCCTGAACCAAAACAAATAAGATCGTATGAGAATGTGATTGGGTCAACCTGACAGCTTATGAATGGACAATGGTGATCAATTTGCGGGTTTATAACCTCAGTAATTGGAGTATCAAGAACTGGGCCATACTTGTCAAGCAAACCCTTAGATATCTGCCACAATGAAGAGAAGCTCAATACCAGTAACATTCATATATTACTTTTCAGTTGCCACAGGGAGAGAGAAAAATAAGAAGCATAAATCTTTGGAAATATTACTGACCTTGTATGCACCTTGGTACTCACCAACCTACCACAAACACAACAATTATTAAACCAAAAGAAGCAAGAATGGAACACAGAAAATAAACAAGTACAGGTACCGGTGGTACCTCTTCTCCCATCAAGAAAACAGAAGGGTCTGCCGACATTTCTTCATCTAATGCGGTATTCAATGCTTCCCTTACAGTTATCTAAATAAGGCCTCGTTTAGATTGCGAAAAAATTTCAAACCGATGAATAGTACCACTTTCGTCTTATTTGACAAATATTGTCCAATCGTGGACCAACTAGGCTCAAAAGATTCATCTCGTGATTTCCAACTAAACTGTGTAATTAGTTATTTTTTTTACCTACATTTAATACTCCATGCAAGCGGCTAAAAATTGATGTGATGGAGAGAAAGTGAAAAAACTTGGAATTTGGGATGCATCTAAACAAGGCCTAAGCAAAGAAGTGGCTGTGTAAAACTTCACGCCAAATGTCAAGGTCATAACATAGATGTACATCTGTAGAGAACCCAGCCACTTTCTTGAATTAATAACCTAACAGGACGTATAACTGTACCAACTGTCCCTGAGACCTCAAGGTATAGTTCAGAGAATGAGAGATCACACTGGATACTTAGGTTCTCGCTATCTACAGAAAACCATTGAATCACCAAAAACAACTCATTACGCCACTGTTAGTTCAGTTATTCAAAGTTGGTTAACTTTTTTCAGGTAAGCATCTACCACCTGAGCACCTGGCATCTAGTCAGTACACTGTTCACTCCCCCAGCGTAGGTGGAGTACGGTGCCATGTTCCCGCCTAATGCCAGTTGCTCTTCCTCTTCACAAATGTAAACATTATCACTGGTGAACAATCCATAATCTACACAAATGCAGTTTGCTTTTCCAAAGCAAGCAAATTAATCATCATCGATCTGATACACAACTGCTCCATGACCCAACAACTTATTAGATTCCCCCCACCTACCCGTTTCCCTGTACAGCTACTGCCATCCATATGTTTCCGATCAAGGTCAACAACAAACAACAGTCGCCATCATGCAGTATCCACCACCATTTACATCTCACAAAAGCGGAGAAAAAAAGTTTCGAAAATCTAGTCGTGAGGAGAGGATTTCGCAGTCGCAGGAAAAGTAAGCATATGACAACACAATCGGCCAGCGAGGCGCGACACGGAGCACAGCGAGGAACCAATCTACCGGAACGCAAACGAACGAACAAACAAACGTTGGCGGTGGCAGGGAAGTCCGGGAGCCGGCAACGAAACGATTCCCATTCCCCTCCCAAGCTTGGGGAAAACGTGGTAGATTCGGCGGCACGGCACACGCGCAGTGACGCGACGCAACGTGACGCGCGGGGATCACGAGGAGAGAGTGGCGTGGCGCTCACCTCCTTGGCGGCGGCGGAGTAGGTCCTGGCGGGAGCGGCGGCGGCCGTGGGGTGGAGGGCATTGTTTTGTCACAAGGGACGGACGTAGGAGCGAGGGGTGCGGGATCGCAGCAGGACGATGGAGCCACGTTAGTACGTCGCACAAAAAAAGTGTTCACGCTTTATTCTTTTAGTTGTTGGAGATATGGCTCCGTAATCATTTGAGTTGCTTCCCTCCATTTCGGCTGAACGATGTGGAACATGTACGGACGAGCTTCAGTGGATGCAAGTTACCGGTTACCTTAGGCATGTACAACGGGTCTCTTGAGCCCGTCTCCACGACGTAAATTTCGCAGAAAACACCCCGCCGATGCTAGGAGACGGGGTCTGCGTCGTCTCGCGAGACGACGGGGAAGTCGCGTGGCCCCAAGCCGAGAGCGCGGATCCAGTGCACGCGCACGCGGTTCCGGTACGCGGCTGAGGGAAATCTCGCGCCAAATCTTTCCCCACCTCCCTATGTCGCCGGTGTCGTCGCGCGCTGGTGTCCGCTCCCGTCGTAGGCTGCCGCAGAGCCCTGCGCCGCACGGCCGGCTCCGGGGAGGTGCCCTGCTTCGCCAGGTCAAGGCGGCCGAGGAGGAGCAGGGCTGCGCCGCCGCGGTCCTCGTCAGGCCCCAGCGCATCCATGTATTGCTCGTCGTCTACAGGTCGCCTGCCTAGCTTGTCTGCGTCCACGCCGGGCAGCGCGCCGCAGATGAGGCCCGTCTCAGCTCCCAGGGAAGGCCCCCAGCTGCATGATGGCACCACTGTCGTCCATCGTGCCTTGCGTCGTGGAGAAGAGGAACTGCTGCTTCATAAGCAAACCCACTGGCCACTGCTTGCAACCTTTTGGGTCTGATGACTGTCTGGTGAAAAGGTTCTCAGGGCAAATTATTGAGTCTGACAATTTTGGAAACGGCAAATTCAGGTTGTCAGATTCGATGGATATGGCTGAGAAAGTTAAATCTGCTATCTGCAATCTACAATTTTTAGGAACAGGTTTTACAGAACAGGTTTTACAGAAAGGTTACATATGAGGCTATGATGTAGTAGTGGCTACCTTGACAGAACAGGTTTTACAGAAAGGTTACAGATAGTGAATAACAATTGTCTGCTATCTGCAATTTTTAGGAACTGAAGTCTTAGAAAAGCTTGGAGACTAACTGAAGTCATTGCAGTATGTGTGAGCTTGCAGAGGACATACCCATGTAATGCTTCCTGAAACTATCTAAATAGTGTGAACTTGCAGTATGTCCTTGAACTTTCAGTTAAGTTTTTGTGCTGTTAAGTTTCTGCATGTGCTGATTTTTGAAAACTGCAGATGGCATGCAGTTTCTGTACTGCAGAAAACTGAATGTGCCGTTTTTTTCTAGAAAATTGGATGGCATGCAGTTTCTGAATGTGATGATTTTTTCCTGAAAACTAGATGGCACTTAGAAAACGAATAGCATGTTTATGCGTGTTTGTTTATTCGAGCACATATGGTAGCAAGTTGATATTCATGCTTGAATCATTTTTTATCAAACGGCAACACAATGGTATACAAATTGATATTCATCATTGATCTTGGCAACATGCAAAACATTAAAATGCTTGCAGACGACCCCTCGTCTCTGAGTTGTATGATGTGTCTTTTTACTTATCTATATGTCAGATACCAGTCTCTTAGAGACGACCATCCGTCTGTGGGTTGTACATGCCCTTATGGGTCTAATTGGTTGCTTGCAAGCCTGTGCATAACCTAGACAGCGTAAACATATGCTCAATAAATTGTGTTTGATTGTCTATATCTTATTGCATGTAGTCGCTTTCATGTTTTAGTTAAGCTCTCATATTTTCAATAGAGATAAAGGATGAGAATATTTCATGTTTGTGTGACTTGGGTGCAGCATTAGAGGTCTGCTTTCAGCACTGTGCAAGCCCTATACAGACAACTAATTACGAGCAAGCTGCATTGCATAAGTTTGGATACATGCCAATACAGTCAACACATGTATTGTCGCCATCTGTTAGGCCATTACATATCCGAGCTTCAGTGCATGATATCACACAATGAGTGTACTCCTTGAGTCCCAAAATAAGTGCATATCTCGCCCTTTAATCCAATGTTCTCAGGTCGTCCAAGGTCCAACTAATCACTACTAGTCAAGCTCACTTATGTCATCGCGATCAGCTATGCACTATAATTTGTCACAATAGTCCCAATTAGTCATGATTAGTCACGATTAGTATCGGAGCCATGGCAACTAGGATCGGTAAGACATTTGAAAACATTGGATTAATAATCACGACATATATTTTTATGATAAACATATTTAGACATACAAATATCAATACTATTTTCTATAAATGTAGTAAAATTTGAGATTTGTTGACTCCTCAAAATATTGGATGTGTACTTATTTTGGAACAGATAGAGTAAATAAAATTTCATTGTATAACAGCACGAGGGGTAACAATGGATCCAAATGAGTTGGGATGATCTTCTCCACAGCGTAGAGAAAAATGTTGCTGTGGAAGGTGCACTTTAATCTACCTGGCAAAAATGTTTTTTTTTGAAGAAAAAAGTAGGGAGAATGTGATCATAAACTAGACTGGTTTTCATTTAGAAGAAAATGGACACCAAAAGTTTGAGATGGAGAAGACTTTGACTTAGGTGACTGGATATACCATTACACCTTCCACCCAACCAGTTAAGCTAGGCTCGCTTAGCAAAAATGTAGGTACGCAGAATTTGGCACGACGTTGCTCGGGGAGTAGACAGAAAAGATTAGCGTTCCTCTGAGCTCGTCATTGCCGTGCTACCTCATCATCTGCAGGCGTAGGGACTGCACGCCAGCCATGCTAAACAGCTAAAGGTCCGGCTACTGGAGGAAGTCCATCTTAACATCAGTGACATCGAGTTGCATGAAGGTTGGGGCCGGGGTTAAAACACCACATCGGCGTCAGGATCTACGGCGCCAAACTTGGTGCCAGGATCTATGGCGCCGAGCTACCTACCAAGTCTGCGTTGAGCACAAGACCTCGACGAGCTAAGGGTCCAGATTTTGAAATCATACCTCCAGGAGCATATTTGTGAAATTTTTTCAAAAAAAGACTAAAAAATAAAAAATTCGGCCGTGTGCAGGCGCAGGGTGATTTTTATGTTGATTTTTGCAGGCTACTTTGAGGTAAATATCCAAATGTGGTTTCAGTATGCCAATTTCCATGTGCCATCCGGCCGGCTGTCTCGATTCGTCTAGTAAACATGATTAGCCCATGTGATGCTACAGTAACATGTACTAATCAATACTTAGTTAGGCTTAATAGATTCGTCTTGTGAATTTGCCACAACTTATGCAATTGGTTTTATAATTGGCTCATGTTTAGTTTTTCTAATTTGAGTTATTTTTTCCCTCTCGCCCCCGCGTCGCTCCCCAACACGGGCGACACGGGCGGCCGCGCCCTCCCAAACCCTAGTGGCCGCCCCTTCCCTCCCTACCCCTGCCACATCGCTGCCGGAGCTGGCTGCCGGCATGGCCACATGGCTCGCCGGGATGGCAGTGGTGGGGCTCCTCCTCTCCTCGCGATTTGGTGGCGCAGGTGACAGCGAGCATGCGGTTCTCCTCCCACATGGGCTGCGTGGAGCCCGACGGCTGTTGGCGGCGCCGGCTGGTGTCCGGCTGGCGCGTGGGGACGGCGGCAGATCCCCTTCTCCCTCACCCGTCCCTTCCTCCAGACTTGGTGGCGGCGGCGGCGTTGGCCTGGATCGCTGGATCGAGTCCTGGGCGGCTGGATCCGGTGTCCACGCGGGCGGATTTGAAGCTCTGGCACCTGGACCCGGCACTCTCTCGGAGGGGTGGCGAGGGCGGTGGCTGGCCAAGGCGGAGGCGGCGGCGACAGCAAAGGGTGTCGACGCCGGTGCTCTACTGTCGGTTCTGATGCCACTGGGTAGGGGGCGGCGCCCACGGGGGTGGGGCACGTGTCTGGTGGTGGCTGACGTCGGGTCGCAGTGTCGGCGGCACGTGCCAAGAGCCAGCTACAGCGGCCGGCTGAGGCATTGGTCGTGTGGCGGTGTTCCGCGAGCAGCGAAGTCAGGTTCGGCTCCGTGTTGCCCGGTCAGAGGGGGTGACTGCCAACGCAGCTGTGTGGCTGCTGCGTGCAGCCAACGCGTCGACACCCAAGGGGTTACTATGTAGCGGTAGGACAACGGCGAAGGCAGTGATGGATGGCAAGGGGCCTTGCTTCTTGGGCCGACGTTCGTGCTAGAGGACTCCTTGGGCGAAAGCCTAGCGATGGCGACACCTGTGGGTGCCTCTTTCCTTGTTGGGGGCGCTATCATCCAAGGGTGAAAGCCTGGTCCACTTTGGACGTGCGACGGTGGCGCCATCGGCGTCGCTACCTTTCTGAAGGCATCACGTTTGGATTTCATCGTGGCCTCGATGTCTCCTCGATGATTGTTCTTCGCTTCTTGGCGCCTCGATGATGCGTGGAGGCGGGTCTTGCTGCGAGAAGTCGAAGCTGTTGCGTCAGGGACGTGGCTCGACAACGATGACACGCGGCGAGCCCCCACCTTCATCGTAGGCTGGGGTCTACTAGGGGTCGGCAAGCGCTGCAGGCGAGGCGTGTGGCCGTGATTGGAAATCGGAGCTGCTCTTTGCGGGGTGCTTGAGCTTGGCAACGATGACCGGTTGCGTCTGCTTCCTTCGGGCTCGTTGGTGGGTGGCTTGTGTGTGTACTGCCATGAGAAGTCGGAGCTGTTGGCGTCTTCAGCCATGCTCGACAACGATGACCCATGGTAGTGTGTCGTGTTAGTGCTCAGCTACGTCGTGTGGGTTGGTTAGCCTATCGGGTGCCCATTTTGACATCCCGTTGGCTAGCCCTCTTATACATAAATTCTTTCGTTTTAATTGAGCGGCAGAGCTCCTGCCTTTGTTTCAAAAAAAAGTTCTTCTAATTCGCATATAAACATTCGATGTGACAGGGACTAAAGTTTAGTCCTGGGATACAAACACCCCAAACATAGTTGTTCACATATATAGTTCATAACACATCTAGTTCACACATCACATTATACCATCTGAGTCTACGCATAAGTCTTTCAACATAGTTTTCAAAAGATAACAAATGTGTGGGTGTGCCACTACCACACATCTACGAGACTTTAAAGTCTCTCTTGCACATGCCAATTTTAATTTCAGTTTAAAATTCATGTATTTTCATACGCCTATTTTACTAACAATTGGAGGTTCCAAAATAATATATTCTAGAAATCCTTATAAAAATCAGAAAGATCTAAACATCAACTCGTTATACTCTAATCACCATTTATAATAATAGCTATTAGATCTACAATATTATGTTTTCCAAAAATATACCCACCTCTACTATTATGAAAATAACGTAACATAATCTCATTTACCATGATTCGATCACCATTTAATTTGTCCTCTCTTCTCTCTCTCTCCTCCACATCAACACAAGTTTGACGCGGTATTTTCGACATCTCATTTACCTTAGCTTATTATACTTGCTCTAAAGAAAAAAGAAATGCCATATGGTCAATTCTCGTTTTTATAAAGTCTCTGAGGAAATTTAACCCTACAAAGTTATTAAACTGCACGTGTAGCGAGTGGTACGACTTTATTCCATCATGTTTCGTCGTCGGAAGTGGGTTGGGCTTGGCTGTATCAAGCGTTTCTGCCTAGCTTAGGACGAAAACACTGTTGGTCTCTAAACAGTCGTTTAATAACCTATATTTATATTTATAAACATTATGTAGATACTCATCGTTTTTGTCTAATCAATCATTTATCTTGTTTAACTATCCTTTGACGACTACTTCGTTTGGTTGACCTTGACCATGTAGTCGGAGTAATGCTTAAGCAATTCAGTATACGTGACCAATTATTTACCCTTCATTAGCATTCACGAAAACACTGGTCCAAAACAATCGTACATGAGTTACAGGGACACTATCGGCCCGCGGCCGTTCGCACTTTGTACGATTAACGGCGTGAGCACATGGAAGCGTCAAGAGACCGTGCCATGATTGGGGAGAAACTTGAGCGGTAGAAATGAGCGAAAAGACGTCAGTCAAAAGTTAAACGTCCGGGGTTGGCCGGCTGGAGAAGCAACCCATAGCAGGGCAGCCAGCCAGACACCCAGGCCCACCAGAGGGAAGAAGATAAAACAAAGACCAAGCTGAGATAGTTGATTGTGGCCTTGTTTAGATTGAAAAAAATTTCAAACCGATGAATAGTAGCATTTTCGTCTTATTTGGTAAATATTGTCCAATCGTGGACCAACTAAGCTCAAAAGATTCATATCGTGATTTCCAATCAAACTGTGCAATTAATTATTTTTTTACCTACATTTAATGCTCTATGTAAACGGCTAAAAATTGATGTAACAGAGAGAGAGTGAAAAAACTTGGAATTTTGAGGGTACGTAAACAAGGCCTGTGACGCGGACGCGGACCGACGGGTGCACGCGCGCGACGCGACCACAGGTCCACAGCGCACTGCTCCCGTTGGCTCGCTCCACTGTTCGCGGGAGCCACCACGACACCGGGGCGCTGTGCGGCGACCAGCGCGGCACCAATGCAATGCAACCGGTGCCGCGGGGGTTCGGCCGGCTTGGTTCGGTGGCGCATCGCCGTTCGCTCGTTAATGCGCGCGCGCGTCCTGCTGTTGGCTGCCCACTCGCGTTAATGACGACCCATCCGATCCATTCAGGCCCTGGCTCACTCGTCTAATCTAATCCGGGCGACGAGGCCAACGTGCTCCTGCTAGACCGCCACAGGCGGCGGCGAACTCCCAAGTCCCAGCCAGCGAAAAACGGTCCCCGGCTCGAGGTCGTTCCGTGGTTTCGTACGCGCAGGAACGCGTGCCCAGCCCAGGTGACGGACCGCTGCTCCGGCCCTACTGTCCTGGCACACGTACGTACCATGCAGTGTGCACCCACATGGAGGGACTTCATTAGCTTCACACCGTGAAGCGTTAAAAGCATGTGGAGACCGATCGACGAACGAGGGTCGATCGCGTGCGTCCGCACGACACGGCGTCCGTCCGGTGTGGAGTGGCGACGTGGCCGGCCGGGCGGAGGCGCTCGTCGAAAGCGGCCAGTGTCTCCGTCCCCGTACGACGCCTTTATGGGCCGCATTTAAACGCCCCCGCCCGCCGCGGTCGCTTGCCGTCGCCCCTTTTTTTTCCCCACACCACCAACAGCGGCAGCAGCAGCAGAGGCTCGAGGCGCGCGCGACGTCCGGCACGGAACCGCGACGCGCCATGTGTGTGACCGAGGGAGTTTTTATTCATTCCCTCTCGCTTTCTGCACTCCCGCTTCACCAAGTTGGCTGATCCGTCTCAGTTCCTGTTCGGTATTCTAGTTAATTTCTCGCTTGGATTGGAGGCTGCATGCCCTGGCTAGCTGCTGCAGCAGCCAGCAGCAATGGCGATTCGCGGTGGAGGACCGGCTGCAGCAGCAGCACCCGTTCTTCTGCTCCTCCTCGGCTTCCTGTTTCTGCTGCGGGGAGTTCCGTCGCGAGCCGAGGACACCGTCGCCGCCGGCCAGCCGCTGTCCGGCGGGCAGAGCCTTGTGTCCAAGCGTGGCAAGTTCAGGCTCGGATTCTTCCAGCCAGGTACCTATGTCGTCTCTAACTTCGCACTCGTACGCCTGCGGGTTCTTGCTGTCTTTTGGTGAATTGAAGCTCAGTTTTATAACATAATAAGTATATAAAGTTGTTGTTTTTATAGAAGAGAAAATGCGTCGGTACGTGGAGTACAATTAACAAATAAATAAGTAATGATCATAGAGTAGTTTATTTTTTTGAAGGAAGCTAATCATCATACTACTTGTTTAGTCAGTACAGATGCAACTCCAAAATTCCAAATACTTTCCATGAGCATTTCGACGAGAATTCAAGCCAGCAGATTTTCCTCTTTCTTTCAGTGGGAAACTAGATATTTTTTTTTCTCGCTGAACATTCTTTGAACTTTGTATTCCCCGATAGTAACATTTGAGTAGGAAATAAAACGACCCCTTAAAAAACTAGGAAGTTTTGTAGAACACAAGAAAAATCACGTTAGTTAACATTCTCTTTCCTGATGACGGGGTGTAGAAAGACACGTTTAGGATCACTTGTCGTCACTGCTAACTTTTCTGAACCTTCATTCACACATCCAGAAATCTTGTCACGTACTGGGAAAGAGAGAAAACCGAAGGTTGGGAAAGGTTGACAAACAGCTAGCATAAAGATTTCACAATCAACTGAAAGCACCACCTTTTCTAGAAGCACACCTGGCCGTGCTCATATTTTAATGTCTTCCCGATCATGCGGATTTAGCAATTGACTTGTTCAAAGTGTTCGGCACAAAGCGAGTGCACCGCCACTCATCGCTCCGAGAAATCGGCCTAAAAAATACGGAGTAGACAGCTAAACTGTACTTCTGACGGACAACTGTCATTACATACAAATTTAAAAAGAAATGGTGGATCACCGTTCAATTCATCATGCAACTCTTGTTCTGTGCAAGGTGCAACAGACAACTCGACGCAGCGCTGGTACCTGGGCATCTGGTACAACCAGATCTCGGTGCACACCACGGTGTGGGTGGCAAACCGGGTGACGCCCATCTCCGACCCGGAGTCCTCGCAGCTTTCCATCTCCAGCGACCGCAACATGGTCATCCTCGACCACAGCAGCAGCAGGTCTACCGTCGTCTGGTCGACCAACGTGACCACCGGCATCACCTCCAACTCCACGGTGGGCGTCATCCTCGACAACGGCAACCTCGTCCTGGCGGACGCGTCCAACACCTCCGCCGTGCTGTGGCAGAGCTTCGACCACTTCGGCGACACGTGGCTCCCCGGCGGGAAGCTGGGCCGGAACAAGCTCACGGGCGAGGTGACGCGCCTCGTGGCGTGGAAGGGGTACAACGACCCGACGCCGAGCCTGTTCGCGCTGGAGCTGGACCCGCGCGGCTCCAGCCAGTACCTGCTCAACTGGAACGGCAGCGAGCAGTACTGGAGCAGCGGCAACTGGACGGGGACGGCGTTCGCCGCCGTGCCGGAGATGACGTCCACCGGCGCGTCGCCCGTGTCCAAGTACACCTTCGGCTACGTCGACGGCGCGAACGAGAGCTACTTCGTCTACGACGTCACGGACGAGTCGGTGGTGACGCGGTTCCAGGTGGACGTGACGGGGCAGATCCAGTTCCTGACGTGGGTGGCGGCCGGAAACGAGTGGGTGCTCTTCTGGTCGGAGCCCAAGCGGCAGTGCGACGTCTACTCGGTGTGCGGGCCGTTCGGCGTGTGCACCGACAACGCGCTGCCGTCCTGCACCTGCCCCCGGGGGTTCCGGGAGCACGACCTGGCCGAGTGGCTGCAGGACGACCACACCGCGGGCTGCGCCAGGAACACCGCCCTACAGCCTTGCAGCGCCGCCGCCGCTCGAGACGGGCAGAAGAAGCACAGCAGCAGGAACGATGATAGGTTCTACACGATGCCCAACGTGAGGCTGCCGAGCAACGCGCAGAGCACGGCGGCAGCGAGTGCTCACGACTGCGAGCTCGCGTGCCTCCGCAACTGTTCTTGCACCGCGTTCTCCTATAGCGTCGGCGGCTGCTCGCTGTGGTACGGGGACCTCATCAACCTTCAGGACACGACAAGCAGTGGCACCGGAGGCGGCAGCAGCATCTCGATCCGCCTCGCTGCGTCCGAGTTCTCTAGCAACGGGAACACCAAGAGACTGATCATCGGGCTCGTCGTCGGGGGCTTCGTCGCCGTGGTCACCGCGATCGTTCTGGCTACAACCTTCATCATGAGAAGCAGAAGGATCAAGTCGTTGAGGAGGGTCGAAGGATCCCTGGTGGCATTCACGTACCGCGACCTGCAGTTGGTGACCAAGAACTTCTCAGAGAAGCTCGGCGGCGGCGCCTTCGGGTCCGTGTTCAAAGGGGCGCTGCCTGACCCTGACGCAGCGCTCGTGGCGGTCAAGAAGCTGGAAGGCGTTCGGCAGGGGGAGAAGCAGTTCCGTGCCGAGGTGAGCACGATCGGCACGATCCAGCACGTGAACCTGATCAGGCTGCTCGGGTTCTGCTCCGAGGGGTCGAAACGGCTCCTCGTCTACGAGCACATGCCAAACGGCTCTCTGGACAGGCACCTGTTCGGGGCCAGCAGCAGCCATGGTGTCCTGAGCTGGGACGCCAGGTACCAGATCGCTCTGGGGATCGCGAGGGGGCTGGACTATCTGCACGAGAAATGCAGGGACTGCATCATCCACTGCGACATCAAGCCCGAGAACATCCTCCTGGACGACGCGTTGGTGCCCAGGGTCGCTGACTTCGGGCTCGCCAAGCTCATGGGCCGCGACTTCAGCCGCGTGCTCACCACGATGCGGGGCACGGTGGGGTACCTGGCGCCCGAGTGGATCGCCGGCACGGCCGTCACCACCAAGGCGGACGTGTTCAGCTACGGCATGATGCTGTTCGAGATCGTCTCAGGCCGGCGGAACGTCGGCCAGCGCGCGGACGGCACCGTGGACTTCTTCCCGTCCACGGCCGTCAGCCTGCTCTTCGACGGCGACGTGAGCAGCGCGGTGGACGGCCAGCTCGGCGGCAACGCGGACGTGGCCCAGGTGGAGCGGGCCTGCAAGGTGGCGTGCTGGTGCGTGCAGGAGGACGAGAGCCTGCGCCCGAGCATGGGGACGGTGGTGCAGGTTCTGGAGGGGCTGGTCGACGTCAACGTCCCGCCTATCCCGAGGTCGCTGAAGCTGCTCGCCGATCCGTCCAATTACGCCGTCGAGTTCTTCTCAGGCTTGCCGTCGACTTGAGATTGGGTCACTGCTAGCGGCATCAAACTTATGGCCTTTTAGCACGGTTTACGCCGGCTTCAGCTTTATCTATTTTGCGTAAATCGAGCCACGGTAGCGTGAAGCCGTTTTGTAAGCCAGGGTTAAAATAAACTTAAAAGCCGAAAAAATCGTTTTGGATGAGCCGTGCCAAAGAGAGCTTTAAACTAGTGGTGTGTATATGAGCTAATGATGAGTTTGTCAAGAAGTTACTCGTGCCGCGAACCTTGTGGTAGCATATAACTTCTTCAGGTAGCCAAGAAGATTTTCGTACGGTTACTAAACCATATATTCACTTATCCGGATGAGAAATATGTTATGAGAGTAATGCTCACTACATGAAAATTAACCATATACTGCATGTAATATATTAAAACCTACCGGAATGCTTCAATAATTTAGATTAGAGGAAAATTCAGGGGCGATCCTTCAAATTGGCAAGGGGAGTCATCTAGATCCCTCTACTTTCAAAATATCAATTGTGGGTCTATGAACTTGGCTTCAAGTGTCATCTCCTACAACTAAAAAGAATAAAGTGTTGATATTTTTTTGTGCGACATTTGTTTTGGTTCGTCCGTCTGCCCACGCCTGCGATCCCACGATATCTCCCGCATGCTGCGTCCTTTAGTGCGATTCTCCTTGATTGAATATTGACTGTAATGTGATAGAGGAATCACGATAAAATAGAAAGTAAAAAATTATTATGCTATCCATATACACATTGCATGTTTGCATGCACCAACATACATGGCAACGAGCAAAAGGAAAGAGAATTAACACAGAAGAAAAAAAGAATTAAGACAAAAGGAACCTCTTTGCATTTCTGAGAACCTTGTCAAATCTGCCTACATTTAATTACTTTCTCTCTTTGCATTTGCAAAAAGGATAGTTTTTTTCTCTTTTCATTTGATTTCACGCTCACGTGTTCCATCGCCCTCGCTTGTTGTTTCTTGCTGAAATTGCCCTTGGGTCTTTTCATTTTGAATCATTTCCCCATATTCTAATTAAACTACAAAATTTTGAATTAGGATACGAGGTAAGACATGCAAACATACATTTCAAAACTACTTGTAGAGTCCAAAGAACTTAATAAATAAATTCTTCTGGAAGCAATGCAAATTCTCTCTAATCTTTCATTTGGTGCAGTTAGTGTTATCGTAGTACCCGTATGTATTCATGGGAAATAAATCGTGGACAAAACGTGAACACTTTTTTGTGCGACATTCCAATATGGGTCTATCGTCCTGCAATATCCTTGAGACAGATTACATAAAGGATGAGAGTCTCTCTATGAGATTACTCACAAGAGACTCAAACTTATATCTGATCATGGTAATATTGAATTACTTTGCATCAAAAGCATCAGCAATGATAAACGGTGACATAGGTATTAGTATGCATAGTAGAGGAAAACTCAACATTGGTCTTCTCAGCAGCTTTTCTGAGTCTTTATAGTGCTAACTTGTCCTTACTCAGATAGTCAAGAGGTGCACCATAAAATTATGCACCACTAAGAAAAGTATCACCATTGGTTGTCTTGACCTGAAAAATATATCGAAATTAAGAATTACAACACCTAATTCTATATCTTGAAACAGACACTCAAGTAGATATCTTATTCTACAATATATGTCTGTGTGGAATAGTCTTAAAGCCACACATATTTATACGGTGAGTATAACATACTTTGTTTTAAAATTTTATGAGAGATTTTTAAAGACAAGCAATATTATCCATGTGACAGGACCTAATATTTACATATATACTCTAACCTGTGTGTACAAGATTATATTGAGATGCAGCGGAACTTATTCATGGATTTATTGGCGTATGAAACAAATGGATATCGGAGAATTCTTTCTGCCGATATAAAATATTATCTTAGCCATATCACGAAAAAGTCTATACAGTAGAGTTTGTGAGCCTGCGACGCCGCGCTCTCCGTGACTGTGTTAATTTCACGAACTTTCCTTTTTGAATTAAATGTCACTTTAACATCGGTATTTAATTTAACATTATTGTTATCTTATCGTGTGATCCGTGTGTTTTTAGTATAAAAGATTTAGTTATTCCGTAGCAACGCACGGGCACGCTACCTAGTCCAGGTCTAAATGGGTCCAAACCAGCACTCGATGCTGAAGTGGCGCGCTGATGTGGCTCCTACATGTGGGGCCCACATGTCAGTTGGTTATATGTCTATTTATTTTTATTTTTTTGCTGATGTCACATTGACTTTAAAAAAAATAATTTATAACTTTATCATATGAGCTCGGATTAAGACAAACTTTATATCAAAATGGTAGCCCTCGACAGGATCTGCAACTTTGTAGTTGAAAAGTTTTTAAATTGAAATTGTTTAGGGTCCCAAAATATTATTGTAAGTGCGCAGATTTTAAAATTCAAAATTGTCCAACAATCTCAGATGTTGACATGGTGTATATGAAAGTTATAGTTCTCAATACGATCTAAAAGTTTGTAGTTGAAAAGTTTTTTATTTGAAGTTGTTTAGTGTCCCAAATATGTGTTCTAAGTTTGTAGATTTGGGACACTAAACGAGTTCAAATAAAATACTTTTCATGTACAAAGTTGTAGATCGTATTGAGAACTGTAACTTTCATATACACCATGTCAACATCTGAGAGTTTTGAATAATTTTAAATTTTAAAATCTGTAAACTCAAACCCTTAACTCGAGCTCACGTATGACATATGTCCGTCCTCAGTCTCCGTCGCGTCATTCAGTCGTTTCTCTTCCTCACGACCTCTTTTCCCTTGGGCTCTCTCCCTCCCATGCGCTGATCTTCCGGCCCTGTCTCTCCGTCGAGCTTGTGGCGGCGGCAAGGATCTAACCACGCCCGGGCCTGGTGCACCGCGGCCCGGCGGCGGTTCCAGCGCCACATGGAGCGGGCCAGCAGGCTCGGTGGCGCGTGGGCTGCGACTCCGAGCGCGGGTGTCGCTGGCCACGGGCTGTGTTATCGACAGGACTGTGTTCCAACAATCACGATTTTCTTAAAAAAAATATACGCAACAATTAGAAATGGTCTTGCAAAAAATATTCAACCAACCCTGCTGAAATTTAGGGACCTTATAAGAAATATATTTTCATTTTCACAGTCGTGCTGAATGAAATGGGTACCCTTATGGGGAGGTTCTTGTCACGCTTATTGATGTTCTCATATATATATATATATATATATATATATATATATATATTTGTAATTTTGTGAAAAAGAGTAAATTTATGTACAAGTTATCTTGAAAGTTAAATTTGAGTTGAAGGAAGGCTAGGGACAAGTGCTTTGTGAAGCATATGACTACCTCAATTAGATTTTTGTGGTGAAACTTTTTATGGGCATGTTACGAGAATGTATTTGGTCCCTAAAAAATCATAGTTTCAACATTTTCTAAGCAAATTTGGATATTATCCAATTTGTGGAAATATTGAGCAAATTTAAAATAAATTTTAAACTACAAAAACCTTTAAATTAGCCCTTCCAAACTTGCATATGGTCTTATAAACATTTGTGTGCACACATATATAGTTTTTCAAACTAAATATATTTTTGACAATGCATGTTGTTCGAATGTGAAGTATCCTATAATAGGCATAAATACATTTACATTATAAAAAACATAAAAAAATATTAGACTACTCGCATAAGTAGTATGTATGGATAACCATGAATTTATAAAAAAAGGTTCGATGGAACCAAATATTAAATGACCGAGATACTAATGTTACGACATTTGATGTAGGCGCAATTCAAAAATGAAAGGGAAATGGTATGTTGGGTTGACCAAGGTTCAAGGTGGAGAGAGGCATGCGGCTCCAGCTAAGTTCAGTTAGCCCAATGGTGGCGACCAGCGTGGCGACCCGTCAATGGGCTTGGTGGGCCTCGTGGATGGGCTAAGCGGGCCTATCGATGGCCTCGTTGTTTTTAAATTTATTAACAGAGGCTGTCATTTGTCCGCATGTGTAAATCAGGATTTTACGCACACATTGTATACGAGGCGGACGGTCTGCCCGTCTGTGTTAATGCTAGCTTTTTCACCGTCTACAATAATACTTACAATAGTGGCGATTTAACGATAGAGTTAAATGCATTAGCGGACCTTAAACTTATAAGGATGTGTCTTAGCTCCATAAACTTTAAAACTGCATTTCAGCATCTCTAAACTTTGTTAAGTACTAGTGCATCTAAGGTCCATGGCACACACACACAGTGTCGATGCAGAAAGTGACCAACACATACATATTTATAGTTTTATCGTACGTTGTGATCGGATGTGGCCTAGCACTCAATGACACAGGGTTTATACTGGTTCAGGCAACGTGCCCTACGTCCAGTTTGAGTCGGTCGATGACTTTATTCCTGAGCCCAGGTGCTCGAAGTTTGCTGTGGGGTTACAAACGGAAGAGAGTAAGATGGGGGTGCAAGAGGTCCGGTCGGACTCTGGTCTGAAGGGCCAAGAGTGACAGAAGCTCCGCTATGTGCTCAGTGTTCGAGCGTGCGCTCTGTGTAGTTTTAGAGTGTCTAAAGCTAGCAGAGGGTGAATCGATGTAAGTGAACTGATAGACCCCCCCTGTTGGGAGAGAGCGCATCCCCTTTTATAGATGAAGGGGATGGCCTTACAAAAGAGAGAGAGTACGTATGCTACTAAGTCTTGTTGCTCACGCCGTCGGATACAAGATGATTGTAGGCGCCCACAACACCGTTGTTGTCAGACGCATGTGGGAGGTTTTTCCGCATTCACCATGTATGGTAAATGACGGCGCCCACAACACTGTTGATACCCAGAGGCATGTGAGGAGAGCCTTACCGTGCTTGTCTTGGTATGGGAGTTGATGGCGCCCACGATACTGTAGGGCAAATGTCGGCGCCCACAACACTGCTTGGGTTCTGACATGCCTGTAAGGTTGCAGGGTACCATTCTGACACGCCCTGTTAGTACTGTCCTACAGGTGTACAGGGTACGGTCCTC